TCCAATCACCTGGAGTACCATGCTGATAATGCAGACCAACCAAGCTTAGCTGATATGACAGAAGCTGCTATTAAAATACTATCTCGCAATCCGAAAGGATTTCTTCTATTGGTGGAAGGAGGCAGAATCGATCACGGTCATCATGTTAGTCAAGCACAGTGAGCAATAATCTAAATTTTCTATTGGTTGAAATGACCTTCTTTATCACTTCTCATCTTTATATTGTTAGAGATGCTTTCAGGCATAAAAATTATTTTAACCTTCTATCATCTTTTATGGGTATCCTTGGATAGACACCAATTTTACATATTTTATAGCATAGTGAGTGAGTCAGAAATTACATTGACCCTATACTCACCGTTTGCCGCATAAGTGTATCTTTGATCAAAAATCAATACGGTTTTACAAAGGAACAAAGGAAGCATGTTAAACTTTGATTTTAGAATATTTGATTGAATTTGACTAACTTATGAATCCGAAAATCAACTTCAGAACCATATTTAGAGTTTGTGCGGAGCTCATGATTGACGTAAACCGAAAACATGAGCAACTGAGGAATCTGTTACCATTCACATCTTAAAGCCTGAACTTTCAGTTTGGAAGAATTTGTTCCAGTTACTTCATGAAAAGTGATGATGAATGCAGGAACACATATTCCTCAAAATCGTTTCTTTTCTTTTATTGCTCACCTATAATATCTTAGAAGACACCTCTATGACACACTGGTACGTGAAGCAGAATAGGCTGCGGGTAGGAGAGACGGAGACCTGACAATATTGTATCGAATAACCAGGTTACTATCTGGGACAGAAGAGATCAACGCAGATGAAACCAATAAAAGATGATGAAGGAAAGCTAATCATCAAAGAAGGAAAAAAAAGGAAACGATGGGCTGACCACTTCAAAAATCTCCTGAATCTGCCACCGGCACCACCTGCAACTCTTCTAGAAATACTACCCGCACCCCAGCCATAGAACTACAAGTGAACACAAACCCCAAGACGAAAGTCGAGGTCCTGAGTGCCATAAAGCTACTGAAATGTGGGAAAGCTGCAGGACCAGATATAATCCCACCAGAAACACTGAGAACAGATGCAGAGACAACAGCGGACATGCTCACACCACTATTGCAGAAGGTGTGGAAGGAAGAGAAGGTACCTGGCGATTGGAAGAAGGGTTACCTTGTCAAACTCCCGAAGAAGGACGACATAAACTGAGTCTTTGCAAGAACTGGCGCGGAATCACGCTGCTGTCCACCCAAAGCAAGCAAAATATTAAGCCGCATCATCCTGGAGAGACTAAGGGATGCGCTGGATTCAAAACTACGACCGGACTAGGCAGGCTGGATTCAGGAAGTACAAATCATGTGCGCATCAAATTGCAACGCTACGCTTCGCATCATTATAGAACAGAGTATAGAATGCCAGTCAACTCCCTCTCTCTACCTCAACTTCATCGACTTTGAAAAGGCTTTCAACAGCGTCGACCGAGAAGTAATTTGGAAACTGCTTCAACACTATGGGAAACCACTAACCTTTACCAACCTCATTCAACAACTATATGAAGACGCCACATGCCAAGTAATTCACAATGGACAGCCCAGCTCAGTGATGCTTTTGAAGTGAAGACAGGAGTAAAACAAGTCTGTCTGCTATCACCCATATCCTTGATTGTGATCGACTGGATCATGCAACAAACAGTGGGGAGCGAGAAGAGTGGGATACGCTGGACCGCGAAAAAGAACCTAGAAGATCTGGATTTCGCCGTTGACTTGTGTCTGATGTCACACAAACTTGAAGATCTACAGGCGAAAACTAACAAGTTGACAGAAGAGGCAGTGAAGACGGGACTTCAAGTGAATATAGAGAAGACAGAGGTGATGAAGATACCCAACCAACAACATCAACAACAACAACAAACTCCAATCACCATCAACGGGAGAAACTTAAAGGAAGTAGCCTCTTTCACCGATCTAGGAAGCACTGTTTCAACTACAGGCGGGATGGACGAGGATGTCAAAGTCAGAATCGGAAAAGCAAGACAGGCGTTTATTTGCCTGAAACCAGTGTGTAGATCTTCTGCACTCAGCATAAAGTGTGAACAAGATCCGGATTTTCAACACCAACCTAGTCAAATCAGTGCTTCTGTATGGCTCAGAGACTTGGCGTGTTACGAAAGACATTTCCAGCAAACTACAGATATTCATCAACAACTGCCTACACTGGCTCGTTATTGAAGCTCAGATGGCCAGAAACAATAAGCAACAAGGTACTCTGGCTGCCTGGCAACAAACCAACCAAGAACCAACCTATTGCTGAAAAAATATGCAAAAGGAAGTGGAGATGGGTTGGGCATACACTGAGAAGACCGACTGGGAACATCACGTTCCAGGTTAGGCACTCGAGTGGAGCCCGGATGGGAAACGGCGAGTTGGGCGTCCGACAGTAAGGGTGACAAGGAGGAGATTATGTGAGGAAGAAATGAGAGCTTGTGGGAAGTGGTGAAGCCAGGTTGAAAAGCCTGCAGAGAGGAGAGTGGAATGGAGACATGCTACTGAAGCCGTATGTTCCACTAGGAACCTAAGGGACAAATAATAATAATATAATATCTTTTAATATATCACATGTTTCTATCATTGCTATTCTGATTAAGCATTTCTTCAAGTGTGCACAATATCTGCAGATATATTGCATCACTGCACTTAGTAGCTTGATATTGTTTCAGTCCAGGCAAAATAACTTCTGACAATTAATTTTCATACTTTGTAATACTCATTCTGATATCATGTTGTATGATCAAAACTGAATTTCATTGGGAGATTCTGTGAAATTGAGAATATTTGTAGCTCAGGCGGATAGTCTTGGTTGTATTGTGCTCTCTGAGCTGGGTTGTTTAATCGTGAAGCTTTCATCGTCTAGCAAAACAATGAAAGCTTCATGATTAAACAACCCATCTCTAGATCAGTGTACTTGAGAATATGAGTTAAAAAAGCCCCTGGCAGCTACACAAACTGCTCATCTGCCACCTCTATAGATGCACTGATGACAAAGTATTTTTGAATTTTGGATCTTCATGTCGTCGACGGATTACACTAGCGTATTTTAAATAACACTTTATGAGATCGCCTTTTCCAATTACCAATTTCATTCGCTTTTGTCATAAAACATTGAAAGTAGCTTATCCTGCTTTCTTTATTACACGAAAACTTTAGATATGCCTTAACTGAGACACTGGAGATGGAAAAAGCAATTGAAAAGGCGTCAAAACTTGTATCCGAAAGTGACACCCTATTGATGGTTACAGCTGACCATTCTCATGTCTATGGAGTGATTGGTTTTCCAACAAGAAACACAAGTATATTCGACGTAGACGACACATTAAAAGTGAGTTATAAGTTTGAATTTGTGATACTTATTTTCCTCTGTTGAATGACTGTAGTATGCAATCTTTTGTATATTCAGACCTCGTAAAGGTTTCACTTGCGGATATTGTGGTTTTGGTAAGATAGCCACTGTAGCCCAATCCATTCTAGGCCAGTGATCAAGCAGTGATATTCTACTTGTGAAATTTAAAAATCCAAAATGAAACATTAATAAACGACAACCCAGCAAAGAAACGTTTCTTTCCCACAAATCTTTTTCAAAAACTGCACATCATAATCATAGTTACAATGAAATCTGTATCCACCATTGACAAATGTGTCAAAGTGGTCGTAAGCGTCAATAAAGTCACAAGGTGATAAAGGCTAGAAGGTTGAATCAATATCATCAAAAATTGCTTATAGGATTATGATGAATAAGCAAAGAAATGAATAAAATGTATGTCTTAGGGAGATTAAGATCGAAGCAGAATTAGAGATTGAATCAATCTCTTTCAACACATAGATTAGGCTTGTTATGTTGGATCACCAGAGCCTCTTCTGTACTGAGTTGGCGAATAAGCACTCCTCAGGAAATGTTTGACTTCACTTCATAAAGGACTTTGAAAGATAATTGTTGTGGAGCACTTTGATGGCTTTACACTGTCCGTTACACAGCAAAGTGGGATAAAATCCAAGCTACTAAATATTCTGCTAGATATATTCTAGCCATTGCATATTCTCACTTTTACTAAACTGCTTTGTTTCGATTCATATTTATTTTAACACTTGAAGAACCTTTCTATCCATTAGTAAAATGAATCCTACTTGACAATTACGTTATCTTCAGGTTGGTATTCATCATGGACTGACATCAGTTGGAGAGATACTGGAGACCTGTGAGAACTGGACAGCTATTTCGCAATGGTGTGGGACTCTTCAGCAGTGCTCACTCATTACCTTCCAGGGATCGAACCCAGTACCTACAACTTCCGCGGTAAACCCGATATACCGTGAACTAACAAAAGTAGTAAATATGGACCACTGGATTCCATCTCAGTGGCCTGATGGTAACGTGCTGGCCGTTAAGCCTAAAGATCCTGGGTTTGATCCTTTACAAGGTCATAAGTAAGACTTCAGAAGAGGCGCATACTAGGACGAAATAGCTTTCCAGTCCTCCTAGGTTTCCAATGTTTTTCCAACTAATGTCAGTCAGAGATGAATATCAAGCTGAAATCAATAAAATTCCTATAAACTTCCAAATTGAATTACGTTGTCTGTCATCTCTGGAAAATACATGGAGATTATTTTAAATAATTAGGCAGAAAGAGGTTCTCACGTCACTGGATCAAAGGGTGACGATTTGTAGGTTGACAGTTGTAAATTGTTATTCATTTATCATTCAAGTAAAATTAAGTTTTCAATTCTGCTAAGAAACCAATCCCAATAATTCATATCAAGAATAGATAAATCAGTACATTTGTTTACGGTAACTTTTTCCCTTGTATTAATATTTTCACCAGGTTATTCCTGAAAATTTAGATTCTTAATCGTCTGCAATGAATTTTATCAATTGATGATGAACATTTATTAGCTCATGATATGGTATAGAATGAATAGATTAAATATATCCTTGAATTTTCTAAATTTTAGGCAGACGATGGTAAATCTTTTCTGGTATCATCTTATTTCCATGGACCAAGAGGTTTGATAAATGAATCTCGATCAGATCCTTCAACAGAAGATAGAATTGCAACCAGCTACCAAGCCCAGTCATTTTTCCCTCTCAAACATGCTACTCATAGCGCTGAAGATGTTCCGATTTATGCAAAAGGTCCATTCAGTGAGTTGTTTCATGCATCTTGTGACAACACATTCGTCGCACATGCAACCATGTATTCTTTGTGTGTCGGAACTTACGCTAATGAAGCACACTGTCACCGTGAGCACAATGGATCAAACCGCATCTTATTTCAACTGAAGTACTACATAATACTTCTTGGCTATCTACTGTACAATATTCTCAGTTAACACAAAAATGTTTGACAGTTTCTTCAGATGGTGATTTTTATAACAACTCATTACAACATCACAATCAGGTGAAACAATTTTTCTCTGAGACATTAATTAGTGCATAAACACTCATTTTCAGAATGATATTCACACCAAACTTAATTTGTGTCTTTTTCATGCAGAAAAATATCAGCTGTAATACAGAATGAAATCTTAGTGTTTTTGAAATAAAAATTTCCAGAAATTGATGTGTTGTCTCAATGAAAGTGGGGTATATTTTGTAGCTTCAGTGGTGTAAGTGTGTTCAAATGCACTATTGCCCACTTCTGGGTAAAAGATTCTCCATGTTTTTGGATATCACCTATGAACTAGTGATATCTCAAAGGTACCTTTATTATGAACGAAAAAATTCATGCACCGTCCTTCATGTTGTAAGATTCAGAAACCACAGTGTACTTTTTGTCGTTAGCTCAGCAGGGGGAAATGTAGTTCTATCGAAAGCAGTATACTGCCAGGAAGTACAATTATAAATGATCCTTTGCTTTATTCTGTTTTCGAGTTGCTTAGACTCATTATTGTATATAATCAATCTGGTGTGCTGAAAGTGATAAAAAACCCAGTAACCAGAAGCGAAATGTTAGGAAAAATCGACGGATTCTCACAGTCTCTTTCAAACGGATTGATGATGAAAGACTAATTTTAGCTGGCTGTAATGGCAGTAAGCAATAAATATACCTTAAAAGTGAACTGACTACAAGTCTTTTCAACAGTCATAAGTAGTAACGGGTGAGGAAAGCGAAAGAAATGCAGAAAGCATTGATGATTGTTGATATTTGGCAGTTATCAAAGCTTATTGTAAGAATTAGCGACAGAATGATGGTCAGTATGTGCCGCCAAGAAGGACGATTGCCAGATCACTTCTGAGTATAAGAGACTAGAAGATCAGGCAGAAAACGTCGAATAACACCAACTATCCCTCAGCTACGCTTCACTTGTCCAACATCCAGTTCGAAATTGAATTGGACGTAGAGTTTGGCCTTCCAACTCTGCCTGAGACTGAAAAAGCTGTCTCAAAACTAAAACAAAGTAAAACAGCGGGATAAGACAATTTTCCACCAGAAGAATTTCAGGCATGGAGATATAAAATTACTGAGTAGAGTTACGGCAATAATAGGTAGTGTATCGATGCGCCATCAAACTGGTTTACGTTGGTGACCATTCCACTTGATAGGAAGAAATGAAAGACTTCATGTGACGACAATAGAGGAATCAGTTTTACCATCTCAATATTTAAGATCTTAGGGTCTGTTGTTATTCGACATTCAACTGGAGCTCAGGAACATTAAACCTGAGAAGATTAGGTAGGTTTTAGACCTATATTGGGCTGTTTCTTCACTGATATGCACCAACTTCTAGTTTATTGGAAAGGAGTGAAGTGGTACTTTGGGATCTGCTTCAGTTCGAATAGGTCGGCTGCTGACGAAATTTCAATTTGGAGACAAAACATTATATAACTACGTATCTCATATTTAATGCAGACAATACACGTAACCATCTATCAACGGTCAGGTGTACTGCAAAACAATCCACTGCTTCCTATCGCAAAGTTGTGGGACATGATCGTTGAGAGTGAAAATTATGTTTAGGCCACAGGATTTTGAACACAAGCTTCCGCATAGCACTGATCGTGTGTTATGGCATCATTATATTAGTAATAGTGAGCCTAGGCATGAAGAACTAGTCAAGGAAGGTAACTCATTCGATAAGGTCGATAGCCTTCAGATTCTGAGGTAGCTTTAACATGTGCTGTGCAAGCAAATCCACTATCTACCTCCGTGTTCCAATTTAGCTGAAGCAGTATTTAGTCGGAAAGCGGCTAAGAGTATTCAGACCAAGACGTAGCAGCATTCTTTCATGTGTCTGACTGTTGATAGGAGCCGTGTGGGAAAGCGTAGACTGTGGTTGGGGGATTGGAGAAGATAGGAATCGGTGTTCAAAGACTTAGTGATATGGCTCGAAATCAGTCACTATAGTAACTATGTTTACATATTTTGTCATCTTCAAACTTCAGAATATTTTCACCCAACTTCATCATTTTAGTCTCCCATCTGTCACACACATTTATTGACTTCATTTTCAATCATTTTCAATCCACTTCTTTTTATGTTGCTGAGAAGTGGGATAACTTGAAACAATAGACTTCCATACAAGTTCCTACCTTCATCTATCTATCTGTCTCTTAATACGAAGTAGTATTCTACACCACTATGTACTACATAAAATTCCAGTTTGTGCATTGTTTATTTAACAAATTCTCATACCTGCATAAACTAGTGACCAATTAACACATGAGATTTGTTGCACCAGTTTTTGAAGCAGTTTTTGTCAGCAATGACGTCTAGGTACAAAATCTTTGCACCTTGAGTAAAATGCAAATCTGTGTTTTACCACCTAATCTCGTACTCTTTTTTCCAAGACATTTATCTGAGTTAGGTGATTTTGAAGACGTTTTCAAATGACTGAAGTGGATTAGATAAAATACAGATATATGATGTTTTATTATGGTTGAAATGTGCTTTGAAAATGAGAACGTCTGCCCATTTGAACACCAAGGATAAGAAGTAGAAGTATGACTTGATGAGTTGTTGTTAGTACTGTCAACACTACTTATTTATTTTCATGTTAACGACGATTATCGCTATTTCAACTCATCAAATAATTCCTTCAGGATTTCGGAATTTTCGCTTGAGAGTGTTTTCTAACAAATAATCAATACCATTTGTAAAGTCCGCAGTATGGTGGCGAATGCGAAATGAATTACAATGATCCATTTTAAAATAAAATGCAGTTTTGATTATCAACCAGGAGATCGAAAAAAGAATTAAGTAATGTTTAAAATAGTTATGCAAAGAAGGCATCAAGACCGAAGTAATATTATGCTATTAGGTAGAGTGATGTAGAACTGCTAAAGCAGCTGATGATTGTAATGGGAAGTCAGAATTGTAAAGGTGGAAGAATATGTTCTGTAGGTAGGCGTAGTGTGTTAGTAATCAGGTCAAGAAAAAGATGTTTGGTCATGTCCATTGCAAGTGAAGTGACCCAACAGAGATTTTTCAATGTAGGTTTAGACATCAAAATATGATTGGCAATGACTTTCATAATTTCAAGAAATTTCTGGCATACACCTTCCAGAAGATTTGAATACACCCTATAAATGACACTGAAGTTGTTTTCTGCACTTACTGGGTGGCTAGAAACGATTGAATACCTTAAAATCTAACTGCAAGGAATTTTTGTCTTTTTGTGAAATTAGTCTGCTATGTAACCTCGCCTGGTTAACTAGTTCACTAGTTACTAGCCGGTCCTAAGCCCGGGTAAACAGGGAAGGTTGGGCATAGGGCTAGCAACCCTACCCCGTAAAACAAATCTAACCGCTAAACAAACTTCAAAGCACAAACAAAATATAAAAAATGAAAACAAACTTATTCCCCGCTGGAATCGGAGAGACGAAATGACGCCAGTTGGTGAAAGCCTTCGGGAAGCCAATTGACCAGGCCGATGTGTCTTCTCTCGATGAAAGCGAAAGTAAACGTGGGGACATGGAATGTCCGCACCATGTTTGAACCCAGTAAGGCAGCCCAGATTGCAAAGGAGATGAGAAGGTATAACATCGAAGTGCTTGGGATTTGCGAAAGCAGATGGAATGGGAGTGGACTCTCCAAACTGTCAACTGGAGAATCAATAATCTACTCCGATGTTGTCACCCAGACGACAACCACGAGCACACTGAGTTCTGGAGTGGCTATCATGATGTCCTCAAGAGCATCGAAGGCTCTCATGCAGTGGGAACCAATCTCCTCCAGCATCAGGATCATGACAGCAAGATTCAACTCAAAAGGAAGGAAGGTCACAATCATATAATGTTATGCACCTACAAATAATGCAGAGCAAGAGAAAAAGGAGGAATTCTACAGACAACTTCAATCAACACTGGACAAGACGTCAGTTGGCGATATCAAAATTCTAATGGGTGACATGAATGCCAAACTGGGAGGGGACAACACGGGAAGAGAACTAACCATGGGTCGAGAGGTGCTAGGTGAAATGAATGAGAATGGAGAATTGTTTGCAGAATTCTGTACATTCAACGATTTGGTGATTGGAGGCAGGGTGTTCAGGCACAAGGATATCCACAAAGCGACATGGACTTCACCAGATGGACACACTAAAAATCAGATCGACTTTATCTCAATCTCAAGAAAATGGAGACGCAGTCTACTTAACACAAGGTCAAGAAGAGGAGCAGATGTAGGTTCAGACCACTACATCTAGTGCAAGGAACCTTCCAAATCAAGTTAAAAGCCTTCAAGGAAGTTGGTGATAGACCTCAATTCAAGTACAACACTCGGAAACTGAAGGATGAAACTACAAAGGAGATCTTCACGGCAGCCAGCCATAAAGACAAAATGGGAGACATCGAGGGACATCCCTGAAGAAACCTGTGTGGAAGAACACTGGAAGTCTTTGAAAGCTATGTGGAAAGAAACCTGCACAACAGTATTAGGAAGGAAGAAGAAAGAAGACAAGGAATGGATCTCGACGGATACCTGGAAGCTGATAGAGCAGGGAGAAGAGGATGGTGAAGCAGAAGATAAACCAGTGCAAGGATGCTCAACGAGAAGAGGAACTGAGCACAATGTATAAAACACTGGACAAAGAAGTGAAGAAGAGTGCACGCAAAGACAAAAGACACTTCTACGAAACACTGGCAAGTGAAGCAGAACAGGCTGCAGGTAAGAGAGACCTGACGACATTGTATCCAATAACCAGGTTGCTATCAGGGAATAGACCAACACAGATGAAACCAATAAAAGATGAAGAAGGAAATTTAATTACAAAAGAAGAGAAACAGAGGAAACAATGGGCCGACCACTTCAAAAAGCTCTTGAATCGACCACCACCTGCAACTCGTCCAGAAATACCACCTGCAGCCGCTGAATTACAAGTGAACATAAATACTCCAAGGAAAATGGAAGTCCTGAA